ATATATATATACAAGTACATTATAGCACATCTTCTTTCTCCCCAAACTGAAGAGGGGGGAATATCAATGTTCTAATATTAAATCCAATTTAATAATATTGTCACAATGTAAGTAAAGTAAGCTTCCTGAGCTTGTGGTTTCTCTCTGTCTCCCATCTGCATACAATGTTCATTTTGCAGTTTTATCTGTGCTTCATTAGCTTTGGGGGTTGTAATGCACATAAAGTATAAGAATTTTCACCTCATGAATTTCATGCAAATTCGATGGGAAGGAGTCTAAAACCCCTAGTTAATTGAAGTGTTTTGTTTAAATACACTAAAGGTAGCTGGATGCCTTCATGTTAATGTGTTCACCAGTTACTAGTCAGTCTGCTATTCGAGCCTGTTGAATATAATACTGAGAATAGATAAGCATACAGTAGAATGCATAGGATTTATATTTTTAAGGCACAAACGTTTAAGTTTAGGAGGAGAGGTTTTTGCTTTATTCTGAAGGAAGAGTTTTTGCTCTTTTTTCACCAGTCAGGAAAGAAAATGAACAGCAATCCCAACCCACTTGTTTTGCTGTCAGTTGGACACAAAGCACAGGAAAGTAAGGTAAGTTCCTACTCTTTATACCTGGCTCTGGCTGCAAACATTTGGTGTCCCTGTGTGCACTCAAGCTATCGAGTGCATCACTACACTAAAAGTTACCACCAGAACTGACATTACCAACGAGAAGCCAAGGATTGAATGAGTGCTTATTCAGTTTAAGCTGGGAGTGGAGGCCAGATTTTTAACTATTTGTAGATGTCCTACAGTACGTTCTGATCTGCAGCTGGGACTCCTATGGTAGTTATTATATAAATAACAATGTGGGCAAACAGCAGGCTTCAAAATACTCTTCAAGAGTTGAAACTTTACAGAATCGCAGTCAGAGAAATGCCCAAGTCCAAAAGGACCACTGAAGATCATCTGCTTGAACTCTCAGCTTCAAACAGGGCCTTAGAATAGTCAAAGTGCTGTGTAGCTCTCAGGAGCTTATAGTTCAGCCAGGCTACTTTATTATGTCTGCTGCTTTTTCTGCTTTGATGTATCCCCCTTTTATCACTTTTATCCCCCCTGAGTTGCTGAAAGTAGTGAGATTTGGCACTGAAATCTTCCAAATAGCTACTTGGAGATTAGGAGGAAAACAATAGGAAAAACTCCTCCTACTTTCTAGGATTTTCATTGGGTTAGTTTAATCCCTGTAGAGAGGTATGAGAAGAGAGAGAGAATGTGCCAGTCTGCAGACCTTGCATTTATTCATGGACTGGCATGATGTAAAGTTTCCTTAGCAGGAATTTTACTTGATATGCAGCAACTTTAATACAAAACACATTCTGTTATGTGTCCTGTGTATAGTTTTATATGTGATATTATATATTTCTTGGGTAGATCCCACTTGACCTTTTGTTTAAATATGTCAGGTTTCAGACACAGAGTTTGCAAAGCTAAAATGAAGAAATGTACTCAACTCTTGACACAGGCTTTATTAGATAGAAGTGTTTTGTAACCTGTATGCTTCCTGTTCTCTAACTTTAGATTCGGTACAAGACCAATGAACCAGTATGGGAGGAAAACTTTACTTTCTTTGTGCACAATCCCAAAAGACAAGATCTTGAAGTCGAGGTATATTGTCTCACTTTCTTTAGATATCTTTCTTTTCCAAGACATTGCAGTAGGCTTTGTAAGCAGCATTCTAAGACATACCATTCAGACATTAGAAGCTGTTATGCACTGAGACTGCATAAATTGTGAACACCATTAAAATTATACTTAAAAGAGTTTTTTAAGACCAGGCTATGAAATTTTTATTTGGTTTTATTTCTAAAAGAAAGACTATAACCAGTCTCTCACCAGAATAACATAGATGATGGTTTTCTTAAAAAGGAAAGTAAATTTTGATAACTGTTTTGAACCATAACAGTCATAACTGCTAGCAGAAATTGCTGTTATATATATGGCTAATTTGTTTCCCCTCTCATCCTAAGGAAGTCTTTCTTTATTCAAATACTGTATCCCTTTACATTGCTGACATGTATTTACGTAGTTCAGAAACTGAAGTGTAAATTAGGACTGTCCTAGTTACTTTCCCTCTAATACTTGTGGGAATTCATTTTCACACAGACCATTTGGAAACTATGTAGTTAATTTGATCAAAGGTCAGGTAGATGTAGATGCGATGGTTAGTTTTCTGTCTGCCTTTTGCTGTAGAAGAAAGGGATGAAGAAACTAGGCATTGAGTATATTTACTATTTCCTTTTTCAATGTAAAGTAATCTTGTGATGAGGGAAATTTGGATTAATAACAAATTACATTCGATATTTTTTTTATTTTTAAATAAAACTGTAATTTCCTTTTCTTTCTCTGAATTCTTACAAAGCAGATTATACAAAATGACTTGGCTTCTGTGTTCCTTCAGGTGAGGGATGAACAGCACCAGTGTTCTTTGGGGAATTTCAAGCTGCCTCTAAGCCAGTTGCTAGAGAGTGAGGATCTAACTATGCATCAGCGGTTCCACCTGAGCAACTCCGGTCCAAACAGCACTATAAACATGAAGATTGCACTCAGGGTACGCTAAAACTTTTCCCATTAAGACTATTGTGACTTCTTGTCTTCTAGCTTTACAAAGAAGATAGTACATTTCCTTGGGTGTCACAATACCAAGTATCCTTATTTGTGGCAGTGCTATCAAGTACACTACAAGATAACCTCTAATTTAAATACATTCTCCTTCAAAAACAGGAAGTTCTCTGAACAAAATAGGAATCAGCTGCTTTAATTAAGACTGAGATTCCCCATGGGTGTAGGTTCAGAAATCGCATTGGGAAGCTGAATTCCTTCAAGTCTCTTATGACTTGGTAGACTACAGATCAGTGAAATCACCTATATTTTAAAGAAATGGAACTGAGGTCATGATAGTTTAAAAAGAATAATGTTTGTAGGG